TATAGTCATTTTCCAGCACTTGTCTGCAAAAGTTATTGTATCAATACAGTGTATTTATGTTTGCATGCATATTCATTCATAATGATAATAGCCATTAATAGAAAAATATTTGTCAAAGCATTTTAAGATGGCAGCACTTGAATACTACTCTACTTCAGAGTGCTCTAAGTCAAACTACTCTAGTCAATACTCAATTACAATTATTACAATGGTGTCTGCTAAGCCCATGCCGGCTTCCTTGGATGGAAGGAACATAGTTCGTGAGGTCAGAACTGATGATTGCGTTAGTGGATGTCTTGGAGGCCTGATATTCTTGAAGCTAAAGATTTTTCATAATATACTTCCTTTGTAATGGAACTGCATGTGCAAGATTGAAATTTCTTTGGAGCGCTATTAGTTATATGTTTGATATGGTAAAGTGACAACAGAGTACCCCGGCAATTTTTCACAAAATTGAGATCACATTGTTTGAATGATGCTTTAATAATATTCCAGGGGAGCACTTGATGGATACGGACTCTCCAGATTCAATTGGATATTCTATAAATTCTATAAATTTTGAACTTTCTTTAAATGCCAAACTGCATTCATTGAGGAAAAGGGGCGCAGCACCAATCCTGTTATTTTTGGAATACCCTGTATTTCCATTCTGATACTCAGACCATCTCTGCTATGTACAAGGATGCTCTGATATACTTTGCACTGATTGCCGATCGAAAGGGCGGGGCCTAGATTTATAATGATATTAATATATTCAATGACGTCAGAATTGTAACCAATCACAGTTGATGAATTTCTAAAATTAAAGAATATACCTTTTCCCCACGATGTTATACATGATTTGTAGTTCACTACAACCATGGTGCTTCAAAGTTATATATACCCGAGTTTCTTGGCAATCCATGCGTTTAAACCCGACTTATTTGAAGTTGAACTTATTATTTTAAAATGAACAAGAAAACTACATATTTAGCTCAATACCAAAAATTTGATTAAAGGAATTCTGGGCTATAAATAACAAAATATTGCTCTGGGGACAAGATCAAACGACTTTTACATATTCTTTACCCTACCTATTTTGTAATTTAACAATCAACACAAGTACGCATACCATATTTCAGCAGATATCGGACAAATTCAGAAATTTGATCAACGATAATCTGAAGTCGGTGTTGAAATATTTAAATTACTTCAAGTTTTGCCATGGACTCGATTTTAAATGCTTCTAAATGATCTTCAAATGCTCATTATGATTTATATTTGTAATGTTGTGACTTCCCCGCTTCACAAAAACAACTTTATCACCATTTACTTGACTCGAAAATTCACTTCCGGTTCATCGTAATAAAGATGAACTGAAAGTCCTCGTGAACAACTTTCAATACTCAGTCTAGGTATCTCTTTTTAAGGTTCAATAGCCGACTTTGAATAGACTTTCATGCATAGTTCGAAAATAGAACAACCAAATAAGGTTTTAAACCATGGAGCGACTCTGCCAGAAGAATTTTTTGCACCATTTTATCGGCTGTGAAGTACAGTGTGCCTTTAGGCACTCAAAACCAATATTAAACACACACGTTCTAACCCAAGATTCAGAAATTATAAACCAAAACTGCCAGATGATGATTTAGAAATGTTGCTCCTTCAAAATTAACATGTTTAAGAACAAACAAGATAGTAGCACTAGTACATATTTTATTTCTCATATAAAAGCAAACAAAGTTGGAGCAAGTTATATATATACAGTGTACAATATTATACATTGCAAGAGACACAATGTGACATCACTTGAAAAAAATAGATTGAAAAACTTAATATTTACATGCAATTGGTTAAACGGTTTATATGAATGTAAAAGTTCTTTCAAAACGTATAAATTCTGAATTCGTCTACACACCAAACACATGCCCACCTATACCAAGGCAGTGAGACATATACCAATGTCTCCATAGTATGAATCATATATCATTTTAAAGCTTAAATTTTGAAATGCCTGTTAGATTTTCCCATTTGTGAGTTGAATCATGGTTTTTAATAAACCAATGTAACTTTGCATATGCTAAAAATGATATATGACACCTGCTATGGAGACATTGGTATATGTCTGAATAAGTAGAGAGGGGAGTCCCAAACTTTAGGGTCACCCTGTACAGTAATTGTATCATAAACGTAAAAACTCGTTTACAACTAGATAAAAGCCGTAAATAAATTTACCAACACAATTTTACATAAACAATTATCTCAATAACATCACTATTTACAAACATGGTTTCTACATATATATATTATCTATGGAGTACCTATCGAGTGTTTATATGTTTAATATGGATGTATAGTTGTATCAACACGTATTAACTCGTTCACCACTATATAAAAGCTGTATATAAATTCAACATTTTTTAGAAAAATTATCTCAATAACATCACTATTTACAAACATGGTTTCATTTCTTAGATTTTACACAATGAAATATTTTCAATATGACAATGTTGATAAATGGCATATATGATATGCCAATATTGAGAAGTGACATCATTTCAAAATTGGCAAATATTTTTATAATGAAAATATTAACAAGTAACATCAAGACAACATTCACAAATGAGATGTCTTCGCCTTTTTATTTGTAACACAATTTGTACATCGTACGTTTTCATTGTGACAATCATATCCACAAATGCCACGTTCTCATGATGAGAATTTTCACAAATAGTATCATATTCTTAATATGACAATATTGAAAACTGACATATTTTCTTTTAAAGAATCCTTTTTATGGTTGGTACTATGACATGCTTTTTATAAAAGCATTCATAGTTTACGTTAACATTATGAAGGAATTCCTAACTGACATGTATTCTTCATTATGAAAATACATCACAAATGACCAGTAACCATCATGACAAAGTTCACAATTAACATGTCAAACAACTAACTGTTTCAACTCATTCATAACTGACATGTATTCTTCATTATGAAAATACATCACAAATGACCAGTAACCATCATGACAAAGTTCACAATTAACATGTCAAACAACTAACTGTTTCAACTCATTCATAACTGACATGTATTCTTCATTATGAAAATACATCACAAATGACCAGTAACCATCATGACAAAGTTCACAATTAACATGTCAAACAACTAACTGTTTCAACTCATTCATAACTGACATGTATTCTTCATTATGAAAATACATCACAAATGACCAGTAACCATCATGACAAAGTTCACAATTAACATGTCAAACAACTAACTGTTTTCAACTCATTCATAACTGACATGTTTTTATTCGTGTAAAACTATAAAACTTCTTATCAATTGAATTACATTCAGGTAAATCTACTTATTACGTCATAGAACGGAAAAAAATAATTTGTTGCTATGGCGATATAAATTCATCCTACCATGGCCTAAATTGTAGTCGCCCATGTCTCAATCAAGGAGGATTGACTGCAACATGGATATTTTCGCATTATATGGACATGTCGTGTTTACAAAATTCGATCAGCCGCCATTTCGTCACTATAACATTTGAATCGTGAATTTTGGTAGTCTTATTTCCGAACGAAAAATTCCAAAACTCACAAGAAATGATCGAGATATTAGTTCGAATTTTTCGCACAGTTTATTTTGAATTTATAGTAGGTTATAATTTAGGAAAATAACGACATTTCGACGTTTTCATTGTTGGAAAATATTGAGTTTCGATCCTGGGAGACAATCCTCTTTGTGTCTCTATTGAATTTTTTATGTTACTTAACAAATCAGCGATTACAGATCATATTCTACAAGAAAACCACCGAATCGATTGGGACAATTATAGAATAGTTAGCACAACGTAGAAAATAAAAACAAATACAGTCTGTGACAATGTATACAAATAAACGGAATTCAAATTAACAGACTATGAACTTATTAAATGTGATATTTACAAGTGGCATATCTTTTCGGTTACAACCGGCTGGTTTCATTTCTCGATATATTTATAGTTGACCTGTTACCTAACAAAAATCAAAACTTGCATGTTGAATTCCTAGCTGTTGTCAGAGTGAAAATATTCATATCTGACATTCTCACAATACTCGTGTTTAAACTATAAAACTATTCACAGTTAATATTGTTTCATTATTATGCCAATATTCAAAATCGGCATCGACACACCCGCCTAGTTTCACAACTGACATGTTTTCGTAATGACAATTTTCACAACTATGGCATATTTTGAATAGGACGTATTTGAAACTGACATGCTTATTTTAAGACAATATTCTCAAATGACATGTTTCTATGTAATATTCACAAGTGAACAATTGTCTCAACTGGCATATTTTGCATATGTCATATTCGCAACTAACATACTTTCTTTAAAATAATATTCTCAAATGACATATTTTTATCAATATTTTCAAATCCACTATGCAGTTATGACATTATTGACAATTGGCATATTCTACATTATGACATATTCCCCGCTGACATGCTTTTTAATACGACAATATTCTAAGATAACATATTTGTATCACTTTTAATTTCGACTGTACACATTTGTTGGGTTACTCTCCACTGTCCCGGTCGAGAGGCACATTTCAATATTGAAGTAAAGGTCGACCGTTTTGACTGAAACATTGCAAATGGCAAAGTAGCTCAAAACAAATGGCAGAGTAGTACAGTTAATACAAAAAAGATAATAATACCAAGCTAATGTGCTTCCGAAGTTATTCGTGCATGTTATTATGCAAAACGAACCAGTTGCTAATCATCGTCAAAAACAAAAGATTATTGTAAATTGCCAATTTGACGGCCGTTTTAATTTAATGGATTTAATTTAATTTTCAAAATCAAATTCCCGGAGACTTTCGGCCATTGCCCTTTTCACGTGCTTCTTTGAACAATACAACTTTGGTAGAAATCTTATTGGTGGCGAACTGTGAAGTGCGTAATACAAATAAAATAGCGCCAAATTAAGGCAATTTACAGTAAGCTTTCGAAATGATTTACATAAACAGATACTCATGTTTCAATTCTTCATCTGATTTCGCATACATATTATCTCCGGTACTTTCACTTGGTCGACCAGACGTAGTTGACTGTCTTGTTTTCAGAAGGTAGAGTACGATACTTAAAAGAATAATGATACTTACACATAACGCTGAAATCCCACATGCTAAGCCAATGATTATGGGATTATCATGTGATAGGGAAGATCCAAAATATGACCCTGTTGTCTCAGAGGATGGCTGTGTTGGTTGAGTGGATGGCTGTGTTGGTTGATCGGATGCATGTGTTGGTTGAGTGGATCCCTGTGTCGGTTGAGCGGATGCCTGTGTTGGTTGAATGGATGGTTTTGTTGGTTGATTGGATGCATGTGTTGGTTTATTAGACGTCTGTGTTGGTTGAGTGGATGGTTGTGTTGGTTGAGCAGATGTCTGCGTTGGTTGAATGGATGCCTGTATTGGTTGATTGGATGGCTGTGTTGGTTGATTGGATGCCTGTGTTGGTTGAAAAGATGCCTGTGTTGGTTGAATGGATGTCTGTTTTGGTTGAATGGATGCCTGTGTTGGTTGAAAAGATGCCTGTGTTGGTTGAATGGATGTCTGTTTTGGTTGAATGGATGCCTGTGTTGGTTGAAAAGATGCCTGTGTTGGTTGAATGGATGTCTGTGTTGGTTGAATGGATGCCTGTGTTGGTTGAGAAGATGTCTGTGTTGGTTGAATGGATGATTGTGTTAATTGATCAGATGCCTGTGTTGGTCGATTGGATGTCTGTGTTGGTTGAATGGATGGCTGTGTTGGTTGATTGGATGCCTGTGTTGGTTGAAAAGATGCCTGTGTTGGTTGAATGGATGTCTGTTTTGGTTGAATGGATGCCTGTGTTGGTTGAAAAGATGCCTGTGTTGGTTGAATGGATGTCTGTGTTGGTTGAATGGATGCCTGTGTTGGTTGAGAAGATGCCTGTGTTGGTTGAATGGATGATTGTGTTAATTGATCAGATGCCTGTGTTGGTCGATTGGATGTCTGTGTTGGTTGAATGGATGTCTGTGTTGGTTGAGCAGATGCCTGTGTTGATCGATTGGATGTCTGTGTTGGTTGAATGGATGCCTGTGTTGGTTGAGAAGATACCTGTGTTGGTCGATTGGATGTCCGTGTTGGTTGAGCAGATGCCTGTGTTGGTTGAATGGATGTCTGTGTTGTTTGATTGGATGTCTGTGTTGGTTGAATGGTTGCTATTGTTGATTGAATGGATACTTCATCTGTTTGAGGGTAGAAGCACAGGTCATTGTCCCTTATTAAAGTAACTGTTATATCATAGATGGTATATTGAGATGGCCCAGATATTGAGATGGCATTTCCCCACAGGTCTAATTCATTAAGATTCGGCATACCTTGGCAAATATCGGCCGGAATATGTTTAAGATTATTGTAACCCAAGTCTAAGTATTCCAATAATTGCAAACCAGAAAATGTATCTGTTTTTATTTGAGATATTTCATTACCTTTAAGATCCAGCCTTGTTAGTGATGTAAGATTACCCAACATGCCAGGTGTCAATATTGTGAGTTCATTGTAAGACAAATCTAATTGTTCCAATGATTGCAAACCAGAAAAGGTATCTTTTTCTATATGAGATATATCATTACCTTTTAGAAACAGCCTTGTTAGTGATGTAAGATTACCAAACATACCAGGTGTCAATCTTGTGAGTCCAATGAAAGACAAATATAATTCTTCCAATGATTGTAAACCAGAAAACAGATCTGTTTCATTTTGAGATATAGGATTACGAGATAGCAACAGCATTGTTAGTGATGCAAGATTACCAAACATATCAGAAGTCAATATTGTGAGTTTATTGTTAGACAAATCTAATTGTTCCAATGATTGCAAACCAGAAAAGGTATTTGTTTCTAACTGAGATATATCATTACCATATAGAAACAGCCTTGTTAGTGATGTAAGATTACCAAACATATCAGGAGTCAATATTGTGAGACTATTGTAACCCAAATTTAATTCTTCCAATGATTGCAAGCCAGAAAAGGTATCTGTTTCTAACTGTGATATATCATTACCTCTTAGAGACAGCCTTGTTAGTGATGTAAGATTACCAAACATACCAGGTGTCAATATTGTGAGTTCATTGTAAGACAAATCTAATTGTTCCAATGATTGCATACCAGAAAAGGTATTTGTTTCTAGCTGAGATATATCATTACCTTTTAGAAACAGCATTGTTAGTGATGTAAGATTACCAAACATATCAGGAGTCAATATTGTTAGTCTATTGTAACGCAAGTCTAATTGTTCCAATGATTGTAAACCAGAAAAGGTATCTGTTTCTATTTGAGATATTTCATTACCATATAGAAACAGCATTGTTAGTGATGCAAGATTACCAAACATATCAGAAGTCAATATTGTGATCTTAGTGTGATTCATGTCTAATTCTTCCAATGATTGCAAACCAGAAAATGTATCTGTTTCAATTTGAGATATATAACTCTTAGCTAGCAACAGCTTTGTTAGTGATGTAATATTTCCAAACATATCAGAAGTCAATATTCCTAGAGGATTGCCACCCAAATCTAATTGTTCCAATGATTGCAAACCAGAAAACGTTTCTGTTTCTATATGAGATATATCATTACTAAATAGATCCAGCCTTGTTAGTAATGTAAGATTACCAAACATACCAGGTGTCAATCTTGTGAATTCATTGTAAGACAAATCTAATTGTTCCAATGATTGTAAACCAGAAAACGTTTCTGTTTCTATATGAGATATATCATTACTAGATAGATCCAGCCTTGTTAGTAATGTAAGATTACCAAACATACCAGGTGTCAATCTTGTGAAATCATTGGAAGACAAATCTAATTCTTCCAATGATTGTAAACCAGAAAACGTTTCTGTTTCAATTTGAGACATATCATTAACAGATAGATCCAGCCTTCTTAGTGATGTAAGATTACCAAACATACCAGGTGTCACTATTGTGAGTTTATTGTAATACAAGTTCAATAGTTCCAAAGATTGCAAACCAGAAAATGTTTTTGTTTCTATTTTAGATACTTTATTAAAAATTAGAATCAGCTGTGTTAATAATGTAAGATTACCAAACATACCAGGTGTCAATATTGTGAGTTCATTGAAACCCAAATCTAATTGTTCCAATGATTGCAAACCAGAAAACGTTTCTGTTTCTATTTGAGATATATCATTACGAGATAGATCCAGCCTTGTTAGTAATGTAAGATTACCAAACATACCAGATGTCAATATTGTGAGTTTATTGTAAGACAAGTTCAATAGTTCCAAAGATTGCAAACCAGAAAATGTTTTTTTTTCTATTTTAGATACATCATTTTTAGATAGAATCAGCTGTGTTAGTAATGTAAGATTACCAAACATACCAGGTGTCAATATTGTGAGTTTATTGCCAGATAAGTCCAATTGTTCCAATGATTGCAAACCAGAAAATGTATCTGTTTCTATTTGAGATATATCATTATCAGATAGAAACAGAAATGTTAGTGATTTAAGAATACCAAACATACCAGCTGTCAATATTGCCAGTTTATTTCTAGACAACTGTAACTCTTCCAAAGATTGCAAACCAGAAAACGTCCCAGGCTCTATCTCTAATATGTTATTCATATGGAGCGATAAATTGGTTATGCTGGGGTTGAACATGTGTGCTGTTACATTGGTTAGTTTTCTCCGAGCCAAGTTTAACACAACACCATCGGCCGTAGGGGGAATGATCGCTTGGTGTAGGATTATCATCACCAGTGACTTCAACATCACATTCTGGAAAGTTTTAAAATATGATTACTTATTGTTATTTGTCATTCTGATACTCATAGCATCTTTCTGTTTCACCTGAAACATGCTCTGATATTATGCGGCATATTCTGTGATCTGAGCACATCAGATGGGAAGACTTATAACTGTCAATAAGTGTGACAGTTATCATGTAATCATTTACCTAATGTCAATACATTACATAAATGGCATTGTATTTAACAGCAGATATTAGCACAGGCATGTGTACACAAGTTTAATGACCCCAATTAAATGAAATATGAGCTGGGATGAGAGATCTCAAAAATCCTCAATTTTGGACTCATTCACAAAGCATCGCAATTTGAATGCGATTCCGACATCGTAATTTCAGCACGGTATTCACAATGACGTGATATCGCAATCGCGTAGCAATAGCAATCGCCTTAGGACAGCAATGTGTTAGCAGCTTTACTGTAAACACGTAAAGCAAACATAGGATGGTTGCAACCAATGGTATTTAATTGATTTACGACTGTCCGTGGAGATATATATCTAAATTCTATTTTGATGGGTATGGGAGGGGACCCGCTCAACCCTCCCAAAATTATATCTTCTAGGAACTTAGTTTATGTTAGCTGTTTTCCAATAATCGTTCCATCAATCCCCGTCATTGCCTCAAATCGTTTACTCCTCCATATTTTTACAATTTACTCTTTATCTATTAATGGAATTAAAGTTCATGTCCATTCCCTCATACAACGACGATACCTCTCGATCATCTCTTGATAATCGTAAATATGTTTTACGGTTCACCGCTATCATCGCCATTTTGTTTTACGGTGTCATTAACGTTGCGATTCATTGATAGCAATTTTAGATGAAATATAGAAGATATTCTTCCATTATTTAAGACGACTTTAGACCCTTAGTATCTCGTCAGAACACATGAAATGACGATTTTTTTAAATCGTATGTTGGTTAGTATACCGAAAAACGTTGTATTAAAATAGTAGATAATTCGGAGAACGCTAAACGCATTTAATCAAAACATAAAGCAACCCTTAATATTGCGACTGTATTGCGGCTTGTAGAGGGTAGTCGCAATTATATGACGCTATTATGCGATTGAATTGCTAAGTCGCAATCGCACTTTGATTGTGAATATGAATTCTAGCGATTTTTGCGATGGCAATTATATGGCCTGTATATAAATCTTTAACCGACCTAAATTGTATAGTTTAGAGAATAGAAATACGAGATAGTGGAATTAAGAAAAAAAGAAAAAACTCGAGCGCTAATTGAGAATATGTTAACGTAATTAGAATGTTAAATGTCTTAAGAGCATGCTGAGGTGTGATAAAAGTGACGACTACTTTTAAATGGCACTATCTAGTTCCTGATCTGGTCCCTCTGAAAACAAGTTTTGTTGTCCGGTACTTTCCCACATGAAATGATTGTTCCGTTTGATAGGACAGACTTCCCTCAGAAAGAAAACACCTCTTATACTGATAGAAACAGGGGCAAAAGGCACCAAAATGGGGTTAGACAAGGTGGCATTCTGAAGTCTCACTTTCTAGTCATCACTATTCCAGGAAAACCACCACATGGATTTACTTCAAATTTCCACACATGTTACATGGTAAGAAGTTCTAGGGCTGATTAACTTTTTGGTGGCCAACTTGCATTCTAGCGGCCATCTTGGAATTTTTTTATAAATATTGTCATCGCGATTCCAGAAAAAACACTTTACAGATATACTTCAAATGTTCACACATGTTACATGGTAGAGCTCATTTGTTTTCCAGTGGCCATCTTGCATTCTGGCGGCCATCTTGGAAGTTTTAAGATAATCTTGTCATTACGATTTCAGGAAAACCAAACGAATTAACTTCAAATTTTCACACATGTTTTATGGTAAGAAGTTCTAGAGCTGATTAAGTTTTCAGCGGTCATCTTGCATTCTGGTGGCCTTCTAGGAAGTTTTGAGATAAATCTTGTCATCGCGATTCCAGGAAAACAACTGAACAGATTTATTTCAAATGTTAACACATGTTAATAGAAAGAAGTTCTAGAGCTGATTAACTTTTCGGCAGCCATCTTGCATTCTGGTGGCCATCTTTGAAGTTTTACATCAATCTTGTCATCGTGATTCTAGGAAAACCACTTAATGGATTGTCTTCAAATTTTTACATAATAAGATGTTCTTCAACTTTTTGGCGGCCATCTTGCTTTCTGGGCCATCAAATCCACACTGCTACATGTATGTTTTAGGTACGATCTTGTTCACCATGTGCTTTGTTTACTCTGTTTTTGTACTTCATACCACAAATATGATTTTGTGTTTATACTTTCCCTCAAAAATGATTGCACTGTTGATAGAACATAAAAAAACATACATATAGGCCACATATTTCTCTTAAAAGAGCTTCAATTTCGTAATATACTCAGATCAATGCCAACGAGGCATGTATTTCACTCTAAAAAAATGTGCATTGTTGGATTTCAAAAAAATGTTTAACGTTTTCAATAATTATTTTTATTGATGAAAGGTACAGGGTGTCCCAGATGTCATGAGAATATTTTGAGGGAGATATAAGGCATGGGTAGTTTTTTGTCACATTCGGAGCACTCATTGAACAAACATTGAGGAATAACTGACACCAATTTCAGCCTCATAGCTGTTATATTTTTGATTATATTGTCAAGTGATTTACATGTCGCAACAGATCCAGGAGTTGTCGGAGAAATATGACGGTTTACATCACATTTTGTTCATTTTACACACCTTAACTCAACTCAACTATAAAAGCAGTGTTTTAATTGTATTGGTTTAGCTTTTTGGCACATTAGTTAATGATATCATACACATGTATAGCTAAATTAATTCCTCAAAGTAATTACCCTGGTTGTCTATTATCTGTTGGTGCCTTATCAACCAATCTTTATACACCTGTGACGTAAACCGTCATATTTCTCCTGACGACTCCCGGGTCTGTGGCGACATGGTCAATCAATTGATAATAAAATCAAAAATATAATAGCTATGAGGCTGAAATTGTTATTCCTCAATGTTTGTTTAATGAGTGTTCCAAATTTGACAAAACAATACCCACGCCTAATATCTCCCTCAAAATATTCTCATGACATCTGGGACACCCTGTACATTTCATCAATAAAAAAAATTATTGAAAACGTCAAACATTTCTTTGAAATCCAACAGAGCACAGTGATTTTTTGGAGTGAAATGTATGCTGTTAATTGGCATTAATCTGAGTATATTAAGAAATTGAAGCTCTTTTAAGAGAAAATATATGTATGTGGCCTATATGTATGGACAACTTTTCACTGTGCACCATGTCACGAGACCTTTATAAATTCTAAAAATCAATTTTTGTCATACACAAAATGAAATAAATAAATTGAATTGAAAATTGAAAACATCTGGGACACCCTGTACCTTTCATCAATAAAATAGATTATTGAAAACGTCAAACATTGCTTTGAAATCTAACAATGCACAGTGATTTTTTGGAGTGAAATGTATGCTTAATTGGCATTCATCTGAGTATATTAAGAAATTGAAGCTCTTTTAAGAGAAAATATATGTATGTGGCCTATATGTATGGACAACTTTTCACTGTGCACCATGTCACGAGACCTTTATAAATTCTAAAAATCAATTTTTGTCACAGACACGGGAACAAGAGTTCATCCCCCTCCCACTCACTATATATTAGGTAAAAAAGAGAGGCTCCTATCTAGGAAAATATACGCCTCTACTCTAATTGCTCATATCTCCGTCACTGAGTTGTGTCATGCATTATCTATTGTCTCAATGCAAGGTAAAGACATTAAATCGTATTTATGGTAACTCACCAATTCTTAAATCAGCGTAATTATGCGTTTTAACATTGGAAATCGGACACAAAACGATCACTTTTTGAATCACGACATTTCGACGGCCATTACTGCGACCTCTATAATATCCACGACGAGTGTCTCATTATTTTAAGAATTGTATTTTTATAATCACGCTTAAAAATCTCAATTCTAGTATTTAGATATATTTGTGGTGATGCTATGAACTTATTGTAGTAGTCTCGGTATATTTCAAATAGTATGTCGTATACTGTTAGCTTTTTTTGATTTTTAATAAAAAAAAATCGTCGTGATTTTCCCGCCAAGATTCACGTCCAAGAAATGATCATTCGAATAATCTGGCCGTTAAGAAATCAAAACTGTAGATTTTTAATTCAAAAAATTGAAAAAACAATAAATACATGTGAGAATGTTAAATTAAATGTGCAATTTAATTAAATAATATTAATTAATAACTGCTGTGATTTGATTGGTCAACTGGAGAGACATCTTTCAAGTAAACAAGATGGCGAGTGGACGTCAATTTGTCGTGACCGTGGGTTGCTCGGTAAAAGCCAGCTGGACACAAACCCTAGAGATTGACAGCTGTTAACAACCAGATTGTTTCGTCGATAAGATATTTATATACATAATCTGAGAATTTTAGAGAAGATCATTGGACACATGGTGAGATTCAGCTTTTAGAGAAGAGAATTGGATGTTTACGAAGTGAGCCTGTATTTTTTTACATAAGCTATACAGTGAATGGGGGTGAGGGGGGTTTAAATCTTCCTGGGCCTGTGCTTTTTGTCATACACAAAATACATTTATTATGTGGTATAAAGTACAAACACAGAGTAAACAAGGCACATGGTGAACAATGTCGTACCTATAACATAGCAGTGTGGACTTGATCAACCAGAAAGCAAGATGGTCGCCGAAAAGTTCCAGAACTTCTTACCATGTAACATGTGTAAAGAGTTCAAGAAAATCAGTCAAGTGGTTTTCCTTGAATAGCGATGACAAGATTTATCTAAAACGTTAAAGATGGCTGCTAGAATGCAAAATGGCCACGGAAAAATTGATCAGCTGTAATAGAACTTCTCACCATGTAACATGTGTGAAAATTTGAAGCAAATCTGTAAGGTGTTTTTTCTGGA